TACTCAGAGACGGTCTGAAACTCTCCAAGAGTCCAAGAAGGATGAATTCTTTGGGCTTCGTGATTTTTACAGGTAGGAATGTTCCTTTACTATCGCTTTGTTCTCTTATGCTCTTTATGTTATTTTTCATTTTCCTTGTTTGTAACCCTTGCTGAATTTCCATTCAGCTGATCTTTGTTGCAAATATTCGTTTGGGTCTCTCTCTGTTTTTCTTTTCATCAAGTCAGCTCTCGTTTTATTGGCTATCAATTTCTGACTTCTTTTTCAAACATCTTACGTGTCTTTTATGTGTTCATTTCCTTCTCTTGATTGCAGCTGGCTGTTTGTTCAGTCTGATATATTTCATTAAATTCAGAAGAACTTAATTGATAGTATTACAGATTGCATCATGGTTTATCTTTCAAAGCGGGATCCCAATTCCTGCCCGGAATCCCATGGTCAAATTTTACCGTTAATCTGCTCTCAGATAGGACTCCGTCTGGTTTGGATTTATTTATAAAGTGAGTCCAAGACAGCCTACCTGGTGGAATTCACTGGTGGTAAACCAAGCTATGAATACTCTTGTGGGCATTTCATAACTACCCTATCTAATCCTTGTCATTCAAAACTTCTCAGTTGGTAGTTGGAAGTATAAGCAGCACCGAACATCCTTAGTGCCACGGCTAATTATGAATGTATTGTTCTTGTTGCTCAGCTTGGTGAAGATGGTGTACAAAATGGCCGAGGAGCATCGACGTGAGCCAAGTTGGGCAGAGGTAGAACATGCCATTAGAAGGAACTTTGGGGGACTGGATGAGATTGAGCCAGTCAAAGTTTTCAGAAAACATTTCAGGAGACAGTTCTCACTGGGCAGAAGTGCCATGGTAGGAGTGTTATTTCCCGTGACTGTCTAGTTCGTTCGGTTCCCGGGGGGACTCCCATATAGAAAGGACGGGGATGCTCGTCGTACCTTTTAGGAGTTAAAAACGCGTTTGTGGTACCTCTTAGGGTGCTCAGCCTCAAAAGGTCCACAGTGGGAACTTCTGCAGTACCTTCTACGGTACTGAGCCCAAAAAATATAACAGGAGATAATGTGTCGTTTGAGAATTGGTACCTCTTAGGGGCAAGAAATATTTCAAGCCACGCTCACAAAACAGGATCTTGAGTACCTCTTAGGGATTGTTTTAAAAATTCCGACGAGCACCCCCCACCTTTTTATATAGGAGTCCCCTTCCCCGACGTTTGGGTACATCGAGTGGCTCGGCGTTTTGGCATTGCATTTAATATAGTTTTATTCCCGATGTGCCACTGACATAAATTTCGTTAAGTAGCTCGTTATGTACTAAGCTTGAAGCAACTATAAGCACATTATTGTTTTGTCGTGTTTTTAATTTGTATAGTTCTTCTATACGTTACTGCTGCTAATCAGTGTCCTTGTTCACGAGAATTGAGATACTTGTTTTCTTTTGTAGGCGACACAGAATGAAGATGCCTTCTCCGCAGTGAACCTGATCAAAGCCAGTCTTGAGCGTCAAATTTCCAGAGGGTAACGTATTTTCACGCTGATTTACATTGTGTGAGGTGAAAGGATGTTCACTGAATGGCCTTTTGTTTTGTTTCAAACAGAGAGAGCCGATACCTGTTGGTGTTGACGGAGAACTATGCAGCTCTGCCGATTGTTCAAGAAGAGCTGCTCAAGAAAAAAGAAGATCCAGTCATAATTTTTGGGAGCAGTTTCCCGAAAGATCAGGAATATACACAGGTACCAACAAGCATCATTTGTAGTAATAGTTTATACGGTTTACATTTGTCACACAAAAGGATCCATTAAACTGCGTGAACACAAACAACGCACTAGTGGTGCTGAGAGAAATCACTTTACATCAATTACATCAAGTAGTTTTGCGTTTTTTCAAGTGTTTTTGCAGTCAATGTAGAAATCAAGATCGAACGCAATTGATGACCTTGGCCATTATGACCAATAATTTGCTTGCAGTAAAATAAGGATTGTGGGGTGAATGAATCAGATATTTATTATTTTTCTACATGTATTTACTGAACCTTAAACATGTAACGTGTCTGCAGTAATGCCACTGAACATTGACCCATCCTATATGRMTAGTGATGTTAAYMAGAACAATGCTATGTGGTGTTGCGAATGGAGGTCATCTGCAATTATTTGTCGTTTGTTTCAGGTCTGCCGGAACATTAATCGAATTAAAGTGTGCATGGAAACGGGAAGAACAGTGATCCTCCTAAATTTAGAGAGCCTCTATGAGAGTCTTTATGATGCTCTTAACCAGGTATGGAGAATGTCTAGACACTTACTTGGTTTCAATTAAAATATTCCATCCTATTTCTTGTGAGAACTCGTTTTCAATCATGAACACATTCCGGTCAGTTCGTGAAATGCTCTCTGCTATGGCAAAAAAGTAAATTGGTTAATCTCAGTAAAACTGGTTCTGACAAATCATTTTGGTGTCATTTAAATCAAATATAAGATCTCTTCTCTATTTTTTTTGTGCTCACAAGTTATTTTACCGAGGTATTCCATTTTAAGGTCTGCCTGATATATGGTGTTGGTTCTGAAGTCAACTGTATTTAAACAGGGTCATAGGCTAGTATCAGCATGGGCCCTGACTACTGTAAAGTAGGAAAAGTCTAATAAAGTCTAAAATATGTAAATATGTGCAGTAGGTGTTAGGAAATACATCTCATGATTATCACTTGAAATTGACTACAAAAAAAATGGTCTTATCTTACAGTGTTTCATAATACGTTTCTTGAAATTGGAAAGGGATGTGGCTTCTTTAATTTTTGGGGGGTAACCATTAAAAAGGACCGAACCTGAGAAACTAAATGTATGTTTTCCTAAACTTAATTTCCTATCCTATATCTCTTTATGCCATAAGGCACATAAGGCTTTGACATTCTCTTTCCAACCACTACGGT